TTTATAATATAAATTACAAATTAGTTCGACTATTTAGGTTAATATGACTAACCAATCAAATAAATCATTTATTTTGTTCTTAGGTTGGGTTGAGACAAATCAATAAAAACATAACCGCATTTCGAGTGCACATTAGTGCCACGCGGGTTGCACATTAATGCTTGTCAGATTGCACTATAGCAATCAAAACCGACAACTAAGTTTTTTGGGGTTGGAATATTGTATTGTGGTTCTATTATTTGTTTATACTTTTTAATTTTTTGGTTATTTGGTTTTACGTGAATTTTATTTTTAAATGACCAGACCAATCGAACTACAAAGTAAAAAATATTATTTTGTTATTTATAAATTTTAGGTCTTACAACAAAAAATAATATAAAAATATTAGATAAAACATTAAAATACTAAATATATTTTTATTACATAAATTGTAATTTGTTTCAATTAATTATGTAAATTCTGTTAATCGATCAAATAATCCAAATACTTCGTTCGGATTTAGTTTGATTTGTGCGCAACATAAAAAGTTAATGCACTGTCAACAATAATGTTAGACGAATTACACTTAACGACTAGTAAATTGCACATTAATGACTATCATATTGCACAATAGCACCTGAAATTGATCTAACTAAAAATTTTGGTTTAAATTTTATATCTCTGTTTGATTATATGTTCTTTTTTTCTTTTAAAGCGCATATTTACATGCAATATTGTGCAATTCACTTATTAAAAAATCGTCTAGTTATTATTTTTTAATAAGTTCATATATATATATATATATATATATATATATATATGACAGTACGTTTTAATGTCCACAAAATCCAAAACTCTCAACTTCAAAACTCGTGTCCTGGTCTCGTCATTCAACCGAATCACAGTAACAGATTTCGTCAAGCCACTGTACGACACCCGGCGTACGGTAAAAAGATCTATGCGGGATTTCGAATTCAGCGGCATCTTCGAAAATGTCATTGTTGGATTCCTTTTCCTTCCGCCGTGGGTCCGTTTTTTCTTGTCGGCGCGGCTCGAAATCACGAAGCAGGTGAGGTGAACGAGATGCGCGTCTCAATCTTGACGTTCGCCGTGGTATCATCAAAGCTCGCCGGCCGTAGGAGGTCGCGACCGGCATCGAGAGAAAAGGCAGATAGTAGGCCTAACTGGGTGGTAGCGATGCTAGATTGTGTGAGAGAAACAGAGGGACGATTCGAGAGAGAGGCAGCGGGCGGCAACAGGCGGCAGCGGGAGGCAATGAGCGGCGACGGGCTATGGAGAAATTGTGTTTTTTTAGCCATTTGTGAATAGTGTGTGCTATGTGTGTGTGAGTATAAGAGAGAATGTGTCGTGGGACCCACCAAGTATGTGGATGACGAAATTACAGATCTTTCCATAATGGTATACATTTGACCACAAGATGCTACTTATTTACAATTTTGCCACCGTGTATTTGACCATATTATTCAGTTTTGACTTTATTGTGATTGATATTCTTAATCCAATGGTGTACGATCCTTCTTATTTCTTTCACTATCTCTCTTTCTCATACGATCCTTCTTATGTGTGTATACTATTAATCCAATGGTGTAAGACGGTTCGAAAATTAATTGTCCAAAACACAAAAATAGAAAATAAAGGCCTAAACATTCTAATCGAAAAGATTGGGATTGATTAAACACTAATTGCAATTAAAGTTGATGGCAATTGAAAGCACGTAAATAATGACGAGAGCTTTACGAGAAAAGATGGTAATTTTGAGTTACCAGAGTCTCTACAACTCGAGAAAACACAAATAAACCAAGAGAAAACATGCTAGCCAAGTGATCCTAGGCAACTAAATCGAGCCTTCTTAACTAAATGACTACGCTTTAAATAAAGTCTCAACATTTAAACAAGATAAGCACGAAATTAATTTCTATCACACATCAACAAGCACGAAATTAATTCCCAGCTCCCAGTTGTTGGCACAATGACATCAAAGACCTTACCTACCAGTCTGCCTATTTTTAGCCCCAAGAGAAACCCAGTGCAGGGGCAGATTGTGGATTTGCATCCACACCTTGATTTTCTCTTCATCTTCCCGAAACTCAACTTGTCCCGGAGACCATTTTTTCAGCAAAATATATGTATTGGTTATAAACGACCAAGTTTTGCCCTGGAGGATTTTTCCAAGATCCTCCATCGCTTTAAACAATAACTGAAAAAGATTAAGACCATTACATCTAATCGAGATAGGAAGTCTAGTATTCCAAATGCTTCCTAAGGTTGCCTTAAGGCACGTAAAATTGATTTTTTTTCTCTCCGAACCTTTCCTATCAAACTTAATCTGCACTCATGAAGGGTTCGGGCAATGTCTAACTCTACTCCTACAGCTTCCTTCTCAGAAAGCACGAACTTTTGAAGCTTATCCGCCAACTCCATCTCCATAACCCTAAAACTAGAACCACCCCACAACCTAAGAGCCTAAACAAACCAAATCCCCACAAAGGCCACAACGAAGACGAAGCCCCTTTACCCCTGACCCCTAAAACCACCAACAACCACCTGCCCGAAAAAGCAATCGAAACACAGAGAACGAAGAACTGAAGAGGACGAAGAAACCCTACCACCACAACCGCCCCCAAAGGAGAAAAAACAGGAGAAACAAAGCTCGAGGAACACAGAACTGAAAGAAAGAGAACAAAAGCCCCAAGAACAAAGGCAGGAAAGGACAAGATGAAAAGCAGTGAGAAACTCTAATCCCCAATCCCACTGAGAGAAGGATACTCTAGAGAGAGAAATATTCCAAAAAAGAAACTATGTTAAATAATTTTGATAGATATTTTTTAATTAACATAATATAGTAGTAGAGATTCTCACAATTAAGATATAAAAGTGCAATAAATCTAATGAGTAGCACATATCATATTATTTTCAATCAAGAAAAACTTATAATTTGATCCACTAATTTTTGTTGTTTTCATTCTTGTCCATTATTTCTTTTTTTTAGATTATAATTTTGTTACAGTAGATTTATTTGTATCAATTTCTTCTTAAAAAACCCAACATAAATTTTAAACTAACACAATCGTTGATTTTGAACATAAAACCTGAAATAATTGACGGGTTTTCTTAAATAGTGATAAGATGAATGGAATACGAGGTCATTTCCTACTGGACAAGGGTTAGATGGAAATTGGTACTTCAATTCAATTACTGCCAATTCGTGTAAGTTGAAACATCGACACTAGATTACCAATTATCTGGACATTCGATCTTTTATCCATAAATATCATTTAAAACTTTAAAACTTTACGAAGTAATATTTATAGTTTATACATATATGATGTTTGAAAGTATTCAAATTTCCGATCGCTAATAGGCCGATGAACATACAATTCTTTTATTTTCTGGATGTTTTAAACGGCAATATTATCCGTCACGTTTGTAGGCGGAATAAATTAAAAACCATTGAAAACTTTGACTTCACATGCAAAAAAATAACGATTGAGCGATGACACAAAAAAAATAAAAATAAATAAATAAATAAAATTGTACAATTACAACCCTAGAACGTAAGTTAATAAAAAAACATAAAGCAATAAAAAATACAAGTAAAGTAACATATTTTCTCCTATCATCCGCCATATATATAAGTGCAATTTAATTGTCTACATGTAGCGGAAAAACGTCAAACGCTCTGTCACACATACGCTACTGTTTTGTTTTGGGATAACATTAACAAACAAAGAGATGCCGGGAATTAAAAAAACAAA